TTAGCAGCAAAAACTGTGTGGCTCCTTTAAGAGCTGGCTTCCTGGTTCATGCTGGCTCTGTTAGGGAGCACTTAAATGGGATCTATGAGCAGCTTGTTATAAATTGCTTAATGGCGACATACACCTGCTGCGTCCATGAAGCTGGGGCAGTGTGCACGGCCCTCAGAAATGGTGAACATGAATCTGCCATGTTAGACTGGGTGGAACAAACAGGCAGGGTTACAGAGTTGGTCCTAGCCATGCCTGCTTAGCATTTTTTTTTTTTTAAAAAGGCGCTCCTGGTCAGAAATGATTACAGATACACAATAATGAGAGATTCAGACATAAATAAACCTCTGAGTAGGTCATAGAATACTTTTAAAATGTATGTAAGTTTGGGAGAAAGAGAAAAAAGAGTAGAGACAGTTATAAAAAGAAATCTTTAAAGAGAAACTAAAAGTAATATAAAAGAGTACAGACAGTCATAGATTAAAGGAATAAAGAAAAATAAGCCACTTAAAGATGGAAAATACAGAGAGTCTGGATTATGCATATCATTAAGTTTTCTTTGAATTTTTTGACTAAAGAGACATTTGATTCTGGGGTTGCTAAGTTAAATCAACATAAAGGTAACTTGACTTCAAAATTTGGGCCTAAGGGTATGTTGCTTAAGAGGCTCTGCTTTTATTTCCACAGAAGATGAGAACCTGAGACCGGTGGTGGTGGTGGTGGTGGTGGTGGTGGCGGTGGCGCATGCCTTTAATCCCAGCACTAGGGAGGCAGAGGCAGGCAGATCTCTGTGAGTTTAAGGCTAGCCCGGTCTACAAGAGCTAGCTTCAGAACAGGCTCCAAAGCTACAGAGAAACTCTGTCTCAAAACAAACAAACAAACAAAAATAACAACAAGATGAGAACCTGTGGATTCCGTCCAGGCTAAAGTAGTTTGGTAGAACAAGAACCCCCTGAAAGATCTCTGTGAACACTAAAAATACTTTGCCCAACAAACAGCAGGAAGCAGTTTGGAAAAAACAATGCCCAAATTCCCATAATGATTGTTTATAAATGTTTGTTTTCATTAAAAGGGGGATATGACATAGATATGAATATTTTGCATTGGTATGGATCTTGGCCTATTGATACAGATTTAAGGTCGATTTTGTTACACTGTGTATATGTATTTCTGCTCTTGTTTAAGAATTATATGTTTGTGTAGCTCATTTTAAAATGTAATGTATATGAATTAACAGATAATCATCTGTAATAGTCAAACTTGTAGTCATATTAGATTTTCTAGGTATATAGAGATATATTTCAGATGGACAGATGTTCTTCAAACTGTTCAAAGACATACAGAATATGGCATTTAAAATGTTTTAAGAACTTAGACTTTTCTCGACAGTGAGACATGTCTGCTTCTGGAAACACCAATTACTTCAAAAAGGTTGATGGGCATTGAAGAAAATTGTTATGGAATTTGCCTTCAAAGTGACTCTAGAGTTTTGGAAGTTGCTTACATGCACTTTCTGTTTACTTAGGTAATATTGCATCCTTCTGGAGTCTTTGATGGAGTTGAAGAATAATTTTATTTATAGTTTTCTTTAGTTATGATAAAAGATAAACTAGATATAAAACTTTAGACTCACAAGGATATGATAGAGTATTTAATTTGCCAAATGTAAATGGACTAAACAATGTAACTATAATTCTTGCTTGATAACTGTTTTGTGTATGTAATTTTACTATGTTAAATTTAAAACCTTCCTTTTATTTAGACAGAAAAGGGGGGGATGATGTGGGATTCCCCTCCGTATGCTGTGAATATGTTTTATTACCACTGGTTAATAAAAGAAGCTGTTTCAACCAATGGTTTAGAAGAATAAAGCCAGGCAGGAAATCCTAATAGAGATATAGAGAGAGAGTAGGTGGAGTCAAGGAGACACCATGTAGCTGCCGAAAGAGAAGGACCCAGAACCTTCCCATTAAGTCACAGCCTCATGGCAATACACAGATTAATAGAAATGGGTTAATTCAAGATGTAAGAGATACCTAGAAATATGCCTGAATCATTGTAATCAATACAGTTTCTGTGTGAGCTTTTTGGGTCTGGGTGGCCGGGAAATGAACTAGCAGCCTCCATCTACAATAACAAGCAGTTAAATACTTCATGAGTGTATGTGTTCCTTGGGCAGGGGCAGGCTAACCTTATATAGAGCTTCCAATTTTAGTGTCTGTGCTGTCAAGGTGGGCATAAAGCTATTTTGTTTTTGTTCTATTCTTGGTTTTTTGTTTGTCTGTGTTTGTTTTTAGCCCTGGCTAGCTGAGAACTCACTATGTAGTCCAGGTTGGTCTAGAACTCAGAGACCAGCCCACCTCTGCATTGTAAATGCTGGGATTAGAGATTTGCACCACCATGCTGGACACAAAGCTAATTCTTGAGTACCATATTCAGGCATTGTCTGATGGCTTCCCAGAGTGAGAACTCTTCTCTCCTCCAGTCTCCCCACCATACACAGCACCACCTGGCGCTCTCTCCCCAGCTCTGTTTTGGCTAGACCACATTTGGCTTATACATTATTTACCTAAGTGAACATTATTCAAGCCATGTTCTATGACACTTTCTCTTTCTTGCACATTTTGTTTTTCCCAGAATTAGTAACTGCCTCATTCTTTCATTTGCTTAGCTTGCTATGTACTTATCAATAATTCATCTCCAAATTGTCCCTCAAATGTCTGCGTCTTCTATAAATATACTCAACAGTGAAATACATTCGATTTTTTTTCAACTTTCTCTCCTTGGAGGCAGCTCCTGCAGCACCTGTGTGCACGGGTCCATCCCTAGGTCAGTCACAGTGAGGACTCTCCATCAACACTGATTCCTTCCGCTCCTGTGTGCACAGGTTCATCTCTAGGTCAGTCACAGTGAGTACTCTATATCAGCACTGATTCCTTCAGCTCCTGTGTGCACGGGTCCATCCCTAGGTCAGTCACAGTGAGGACTCTCCATCAACACTGATTCCTTCCGCTCCTGTGTGCATGGGTCCATCCCTAGGTCAGTCACAGTGAGGACTCTCCATCAACACTGATTCCTTCCGCTCCTGGACTGAATCTAGACCTGTTTCTTAAGTACACCCAAAGTTTACCATGTACATGGCTGATCACTTGGGTTCAAAATTCCAGGTTGGAAATTCTTTTCCTGAGAATTCTAGAGAGCCTGCTGCCTGGTCATCTAGTAGCCAGGGCCAACCCTCAGAGTTGATGCCATGTACATTCCTCATGCTTCACACTGGCACTCTTTTCTCTTTCTGGGAGCTTCTGGGTCTCCTCTGGGTCCCCAGCCTCTTTGCAGTCATTATGGGAAGTAGACCCATCCAAACTGCAAACGTGTTTCTCTTCTCTGCAGAATAAGCTTACAGTTTTCTGTTGGGGTCATGACCTGTTCTGCAAACGAGTAGAGAAATGTCGAGGATCCTCCAAGGGCCATTGAACAAAATCAGCTTTTAAAGTTCATCTTTGAGCCCCTCCCAGAGGATTAGACACCCCTGGTCCCTAAGCCATGGGAGGGTTTGGCCTGTTTCTCTGACTTACTCAGGCCTTAGAAGTCACCTGCCAACAACTTGTCCGTTTCCCAGCTCCTAAGCTTTACTGCCAATATTACTTCTCCTTGTGCAATTAGCACCTTTTCAAAAACTCTCTATACAGACGCTCACTAAGGTCCGAGGGAAAAAGGGGAAATGTGTGGCCAGGCACTGGACTCTGGAAGCCGTCCACTTTCTTCCCATAAGGAAAGATTTAGTTCTGCTTCATCTCCTCCAGGGACAGTGGGGCTTCTCACCAATCTAATGGTGTCTCATCTTGGCCTTAGCTCTCCATCTTCATCTTGGATGCAACTCCAAGCACTCATTTCTCTCAGCGTCCAGGCCAGACCAGGGAAGACTGTGCTCCCTACATTCTTCCTTTCCAGCCTCAGCTTCCAGATAAATACACCTTTTTTTGAAACAAGGTCTCACTATGTATCCCGCTAGCTGGCCTAAAACTCACAGACATTCCCCTGCCTCTTCTTCCTGGCTTAGGTGTGTCACTATGCCTGGATAATACATACTCTAATAGGCTTACATACCAACCGTACAATGAAGATCCCCAAATTACCAGCTCTTGCTGAATACAATCTCTCCTGAGAACCAGATTCAGATCTAACTGACTGTGTGAATTCTCCAGACCGCCATTTCATCTCTCACACACACACACGCACACACACGCGCGCGCGCACACACACACACACACACACACGCACACGCACACGCACACGCACACACACACACACACACACATGCACACAGGCAATTCTGACTTCCAGTGTCCTTCCATTTGTTTCTATCTGCGGTATAATATTGTTATCTCTCAGTACATTAGCTAGAAACCCAGGAATCATCAAAGCTATCTTTCTCTTCTTCGGTCCATCTCCAGTTTATCAGCAAACCATACTGAGACTACCCCTTAGAAAAGATATTTTATTTTATGTGTATGGCTGTTCTGCCGACATGTATGTTTGTGTATCATATGTATGCAGTGCCCACAGAGGTCTGAAAATGGCTTCGGAGTCTCCAGGTAGAGTTATAGACCAACATGAGCCACCATGTGAGTGACGGGAATTGGCCTCAGGTCCTCTAGAACAACCAGTGCTCTTAAGCCCTGCGCCATCTCTCCAGCCACAGTATAGTTACTACAATGTTTAATTGATTAATTTTCCCTTCTCCTCTGCCATGGGTTCCACTGTGCTCACCAGGGTTGATACCTGGAAGCTGAAAATGTGGATAATCATTTACTATGTCTAAGACACTGCTGCTATGCTAGAAGTGAACCCTGCTGTGAAAAGCAAAGTTTGCAGCAGCTTAGAAAAGGCTCAAACGCTTCAGAATCCTCTGCCTATAAATGAGAAAGAAGTTCAACCTTCCAAACCTACAGGCAAATTAGGGCCTAGGGCCTACCAGACAGCGGCAGGAAAAGAAAAACATCCATATTCACCAATTCCTTTGTGAGGGTCAGGGGGGCAGGACACAAACTTCAGCACTTCCGCCCGCTTCTCTCTCAGACCCCAGCGGTAGAGGATCTCTCCGTAGCACTTCTTAAAGTCATCAAACTGCTGGGTATTGGCAGGGTCCAGCAGTCTGGATAAACCCAAAAGGTTCCGTTAGCTCCTTTAAGGGAAAAGCAGTCCCTAACAGCATTTCTATGAAATGTCATCTTCTCAAAGCTTGACTCTGAAGTCGTGAACTCTGCAGCTATGGTTGGGCGAGGCGGCTGGTTACCTTTTGTTTCTGTCGTGCTGGTCGCGCTCCCGCTCCCGGGGGTCACTGTAGGTCAGACTCCCAAAGCGGAGTTCTTCCGGAGAAGACTCTCCCCAAGGTGAAGACACGTGTTCTGTCTCTCTTCCGGCTAAAGAAAAGCAAAAGAGAAGTGAATATGGCGGTCAGAGAAGGCACAGGAAATAGTAAGCCCCTCCCCTCCCATCTCCCACACCCCGGTATGTATCCACTCTATTCTCTGGAAACAAAGTATGCGAACTGAAGACTGAGGATCCGAGTCCTCCTCTACTCTGTCCTAGGCATCCCTGTGTCCAGACACTTATCAGCAAGAGAACCTGGTAATTACTGGTAATTAAGTACATGTGATAGCTAAGCAAATCATGGCTTAATGATACAGTAGAATGTGATGCAACGATCTGTTACAAAAACGCTAAATGACACGAGAAAAATGCTCATGATAAAATTAAAGGCAGATACAAAACAGCATAAATCAAATAACTACCCACCCATACACACACACACAAAGAGGGGGAGAGGAAGAAAATGTTCTCAAATGTTAACAGATGTTATTAAGTGAGAGATGTGAAGATATCAACCATTGCTATTTTTTTCTCTGATACTTTTTGTTTATTCTTCTTTACAGGACATGTAGTACATATATATGTATGTTCTTGGGTAGGAGTGTGTGTGTGTGTGTGTAGATAGATCTCTCTATGTAGCCCAGGCTAACCCTTAATTCTCAATCCTCTTGCCTTCACTTCTTGAGTGCTAGGATTATTTTCTAAGATGTAAGGTCTTACTGTGTTGCCCAAGCAGGCCTCAGACTCCTAAGAAGTTGGGGTTATGGGTGTGTATTACTACAGCTGGCTCATGTTCTTGGTGGGTTTTTTTTTTTTTGGTTTTTGGTTTGTTTTGGGTTTTTTTTTGGGGGGGGGAGTTCTGAGACAAGGTTTCTCTATATAACAGTACTGGCTGTCCTGGAACTCACTCCGTTGACCAGGCTCCAGGCTGGCCTCAAACTCACAGAGATCTGTCTGCCTCTGCCTCCTGAGTGCTGGGACTAAAGGAATGCACCAGCTCATGTTCTACTTTTATAATCAAGAAAATTAGGATCATGGTCATTAAGCTGTTTTATTTCTGTCCACTAAAAGGAATCATGGGAAGAAACGGATGATGGGATGCAGCAGATGACAGTGGAAAAGGGGGTGTGGAGGACGAAGGGTAAGCACTGGGTTTTATGGGATGGGACAAGTCCCAGTGCAGCCTCTCCAGCAGCCCCAGGTCAGGCCGTGAGCCGACACTGCCCTGTTCACTGAACGGAAAGCAGTGAGAACCAGAGAAGAACGTGTGCACCACTCGGGTGGAACCTCCAGCTCGCCCCTGCATCATCTGGAAGACACCAGGACAAAGGCTGAGAGCCAACCTCTCCTTAGCCACCTTCTCTCCCTCTCCCTTCTCCTACTGCCTCTCCTCCTTCTCTATCCCCCTCTATAACGCCACAATTTCTACCCTGGTCCCCATCCATAGACTGACCTACTCCCCCTGAATCCTCCCGGTGGCTTCTCTAGCCTCGATCTATGGAACTGGAGAACCCACCTTGGAATTGCTTTACTCAAATAAACCTGTTCTTATTCTTTTTCTATTCAGCTTGATCTGGCTTACTATGTGGGCAGAGAAATCTATTATTGGGATACGAAGAAAAAAAAAACCTATTATACCCCAACTAAACTTCTCACATGAACAGCCTTCACCAAGCCTCAGGAATAGCCAAAGTCCAATGTGGGCTGTACCATTCCCCATTCCCTCACCAACCTATGTTCCAGCCGCCGGTGTTGAACCCTGGGTCTGACATGCTGGAGCAGGACCCCGAGGAGGTAAAGCTGGGCTAGAAGGAAGAGGAACACACACTGGCATCAAACACCATCCCATTTCAAAGTTACATTTGAGGAAAAAACAGACCTTAAGGGAAGCCAGAAAAACATGAACTTACATATCGACTGTGGGACACCATAAGATTAGAAGAACGGTTAGGGAAAGGCCCGAAAGGGTTTGGTAACCCCTGAGGCCGGGACTGGGCTTCAAACACGCTGCACAGCATAGCCAAGGTCTGGACATCTCGGAGTTGGCAGTAGTGAGCCAATCTGTAAAATATAAGAGAAGAAAAAAAAATAAGCCAAGAGTTGAAATGGAGGAAGGACAGTTACCAGTCATAACTCTACTGTGGGCTAGGCTGGGGGAAGTTCCATCCTTCCTCTGACTTTGTCAGAAACAGGGACTTTTACAGAGCCAAAATCTCACCTACCAGGAGACTGGCCCCATGTGTCTTGGCATAAGTGTTTTCAGAATGTTAGTGACAGCCTAGACATCAATCTGGAAGCTTCCAGGTGGCACTCAGGCACGGGCTCTACCACAAGTTCTCCAGCACCTGAGAGAGGTGTTCCAAACTCTCTCTATCTCTCCAGCTCCAGGAAAAATCCCCTGCTCTGCGGTAAGTTTCTATCCATGTCCTTCCTCTGACCTAATACTAGCAGGAGGCAGTCAGAGCACACCACACACCACAGCCGGCAGGCCGCTGACTCTGCTTCCTGGATGAAACACGAACGACAGAGCACACACTCATCTTGGTCCTAGGTTCTCAGTCCCTCTATCTTTCAGACACCACACTAGAATGTGAGGGCGGGGGTTAAGAAGCCTTTGTCTTGAGGCTTATATAAACTAAGTAGGGCAACCCCTGCCTTAAGGATGAGGCAATGAGAGGAACATCAGGTGCCCCAGGTCTGGCCTCAACCAGCAGAAAAGAAAACTTCAACTGGAAGCAGTGGAGTTTCTCTGCCCAGGCCCAGAGCTTCACTGTGAGAAATACCCGAGTGGTTACTTAATGGAACATTATTCTATACAATCCGACTTTCTGTATTCCAAAGCCATAAGTTGGTCATAAATCTGGTCCTAGTGTTGGGAGAACATACACACACAGTTCTGTCCCTGTTCCCGGAGGCCAAGTCACACCACACCACAGAGAAACTCACCATACTCAGCGCCCAGAGGTCTGTGTGCCCAGAGGTGTGAGGGATGGACTCAGGCACGCTGATACATGTGGGACTCTTAAGGTTTCAAAGTCTTCTGGGTGACAAATATTACATAATGCCTCAGCTGTCAGAAGTTCATTCTGCTCAGAGGCTATTTCCGTGCTAAAAGCAAAGAGCCTTGTTCCCGCCACTCATCTGGAACTCTGTGCCCTCACCGAGGCAGTCACACTTAACACGTTCTCAGACCTCAGACCCACTTCACTCATTTTCCTCACTTTTAGCTCTCAGAACCTACAGGGACTCCAGCAGCTGTCGCCCAAATGGATGTCGAGCCCAAGGTGTCTCCAAATCTGGGTCAGACTTCGGACCAAGGCAAAGATCTGTAGCTACTGTGGCCAGCGACCAAACCTGGACAAACCAAAGAAAAGAGGCTCAAATTCAAACCACTGAAGAGATGAACAGAAACTGTCAGAGCCCCACCTGCCGCCTGTAACCTAAAACCTCACCACAAGGGTGGCGAAAGTTTGAGGTGCGGAATTCCAGGCCCCACCCAGACTGCCTGGGTCAGAACTGACATTTTAACAGATCCTCAGTGACTGAGTACACTGTACAGTCGAGGAACATTAGCCTTCAAACCTTCACCAGAAGTCAAACATGTGACTCAGGTTTGCAATCCCAGCACCCGGGAGCTGAGACTACTGAGGGTGGGAGCGGAGAGACAGGTTGAGGTTACACAGTGAGCTCTACAACAGCCGGCAAAACCCCAGCTACTAAAATAAGTAAGAAAACCTCTCATGAAGCAAACTTCAGAGAAATGACACAGCACCACAATTCCAAGGGGCCATTTTCTTCATTATTCCTGGTGTGTTCTGACGCTTCACTGGTGAACGGGATTGCCAGAGCAAACAAGAGCAGTCTGCATTCCACTGAAGACTGGTTCTTTCTCAAGAAATGGGAAACTTTGTTGCCCCCATTACACAAGTTTTAGTATACTCTTAAAGCTAAAGAAAAACAACTTTGCCCCCCCCCATCCCACCAGACAGGGTTTCTCTATAGCTTTGGAGCCTGTCCTGGAACTAGCTCACAGAGATCCGCCTGCCTATGCCTCCCAAGTGCTGGGATTAAAGGCATGCACCACCACTGTTCAGCCTAACTTTGGCTTTCTTTATAGTGACACCAAAACACCCCAAACTTCAACCTTCACAGAGCTTAGAATCACCAAACTAATGTCCACGAATTATCTATTGAACCCAAAGTCTTCAATACCCATCACAAAGGACCCCAACCTTCAAAAATCTGAATGCTACTTTTGGAAAAATCTCTTCTGTTTTATTTGGTTTTGGAAAAGTAATACAATGGTTGCACCCACTAACTGAAAGACACTACTGTAAACTCAAAAGGAAGAAGACACAAACTTTGGTCCAAATCTATAATTTGAAATAAGCAAGTAGATAAAAATGCTGAAACGCAAACATCAGATGTGCAAAATCAATAGTATGAGGGCAGCTGGGCATGGAGGCACATGCCTTTAATCCCAGCACTCAGGAGGCACAGGGATCTCTGGGAATTTGAGGCCAGCCTGGTCTACAGAGCGTGTTCAAGGACAGCTAAGGATACACAGAGAAACCCTGCCTCAAAAACCAAAAGTATTGGTCCAAGGAGGGACATGCAGTTTACAGCCACAGCCATGACAAACAACCCACTTCAACAGCTGCTCAAAGAAGTTAACGACTTTTGGGGCCAGGATGGGCTTTCTACCCTGCTGACAACTGTGTCCATTTCTCCCTATAACACTAACACACATCTTGTCTCTTAAAGCCTTCAAGAGAAGGGAGTCCCTGATATTTACTTCTCTGGTAAACGTGAAAGTTACAAGACAAAAAGCACCCCTTCATCAAGGGTATGAAAACAAACAACATTCTCCAAGCACTCACTGTCACTCACGGTATTTCCGTCCTTAAACATTGCCAGATTACAGTGACAGTCCCAGAGCAGCAGGGGAGCCATTTCCAAGGATCAGACAGCTAGCAGAATTCACAAGTTTACTCCATTTAGTTCCTAATGAATATAGAAGTATTGCTCCATTTTATAGAAGGACCCTGGGGTTTAGAAAGACAGGGCGGTTTGCCTGGGATCCACATACAAAAAGTATGTCAGGGCCCAAAGCCAAGTTCGTCTGAAGACAAGAGTCTCCCCGTTTCACTTAGACTGACCTAGCCTTCCACACCAGTTCTGCCAGAAAAGAGGTAGGGGAGGAGTTGGGAAAAGGAGAAAAGAAAAAGAAGGGGAGGGTAGAGAAAAGATGACTGGAAGAGACTAAATAAGAAGGAGAAAGAACACACAAACTTTAGGGAGGAAACTATACTCAGAGAATATTATTGTCCTGTTCCTTTAAGGGACAAGCCCCACCCGCTCCCCCCTCCACCCCTGAGGCAGGGCAGATCTTCCTTCCACTTCCAAGTTGAGTCCCTTCCTTTCAGTCTTTCTCCTTTCTGCCTCCTCCCTTCTCCCCACTTCTCTCCTTCCCCCTCCTCCTTTCCCTCTCACAGTAGTTATCTTCTCTTTCTCTCTCTCTCCCTCCCTCCCCCCTCTCTGCTTTTCCCCCTTCTCCCCTTCCCTCTTTTCCTTCCCCTCCATAACCCACTAAATAAATATCCAACCTCACTCTGCATGGCAGGTGACTATCCAGCTGTCTGTCACCCAACATGTGTCTCCCTGCCTGGGACCAGTCACCTTCGGAGACCTGCAATGTGGCCTCATGGCGTGCCTATCCGCCTAGGCCTCTCACCCGCCGGCCACTTGGAGACTCCCTGCCTTAGGGGCCTGCCATGGTCTCGGGACCGCTGCCCACTGCCGCCCCTCGGGGACCTGCAGCATTTTATTAAACCACAGGCCAGCCTTTACATTCAGTGACCTCATGACCCCTGGAGGGAAATGCTTCGGGTTCTCATGCTGGAACCCCCACCAAGGCTGAGGGTCTGAGGTGACCTGCCTCCTATCACCTTCCTAGCGTTCACAGAGTCTGGGTGGGTGGGGGCTGACGGAAATAGACTAAACCCATGAGAGGGTTTTCCTTTAAAGGGTTTCAGGGAGAGACATGGTGATGTTTACTACAAGATGAAGGGAAATCTTAGGGATGTTTTTAATCAAATGAAATCAAGGGAAGGTCTTGGTTCAGCCTCACTGTCACACTAAAGAACAGAGTGAAGTAAAGACGGGACTTGACTGGTGGCTGCCCGGGGCTGACGGGAAGAACGGAGGGAAAGACAAGTTTCTCCCTCTGATGAAAACGTCCTGAACAGTTTCCAAGGACAACTGCACAACTCCCGCAAAACCAGAAATTACCAACCAGCACATTTCAAACGGACAGGCTGCAGGGACGCGGGCTGTATCTCAGTAAAGGAGTTCAGAGAACAATACAGGGAGCTACAACGCTGAAGGAATCCTACACTTTATAAGTATGGACATTTTATTTTTAAAAGTTCTATTAATATTGTATTGTGCATGAGTGTTTTGCCTTCCTGTATGAATGTATATCATGCACATGCCTGGAGCCAGAAGAGGGAGTCAGATTCCCTGGGACTGGAGTTTCAAAAGGTTGTGAACTGCCATGTGGGTGCTGGTAACTAAACCAGGGCCTCTATGAGAGCAGCCAGTGCTCTTACCACTAAGCCACCTCTCAACCCCCATGATGTCATACATTAAAAACTGAACATCTCCACCTAGAACACTCTGATAAATCTTCTTATGAAACATTCTTTAAAGTTTTTTAAAAAAAATAATTGAAGTAAAATGACAAAGACACAGATGTTCAAGTTTAGGATCCAACAGTCACTGTGGCACCGAACTACGACAGTCACCATGGCACCAAAAAATGACAGTCACTGTAGCATCAAAATACAATCACTGTGGTACCGAACTATGGCAGTCACCGTGGCACCAAAATACAATCACTGTGGTACTGAAACAGAAACACACATATTTTAAGGAAAAAAACACTTAAGGATCTCCCCACCTAGCACTAATAAGAAAAATATCCAGGGTAAAGATTTAGGAAGCTGCTCCAGCCCTACAGACAGACAAAGAAAATCAAAAAGAAACTTCAAAATAGGGGGCGCACCCTGTGGATGTCACTAACTTATAAGTGTTGAGGCCAGAACGTCACCAACAGGAGCTTACAGTACCTGGACAAGATCCTTCCTTCCAACTAGCATGGCCGAAGCGGCGTTCTTCTGGCACGTCTCCTGAGTGTCGTTCACATTCAATCTGAAATTAGAGCAGAAAAGACTAAGAAGGCTTCTACTTTAATTTCCCAAGAAAGACTCTTGATTTAGTGGACTAGAAAGTATCTCTTTGGTTGTCACTCAAATCTGACAGGAAGAGAAGAATTAATTCGAGCTGGTGCTACCAGGCTGTGGGTGCCCACCTGAGGAGAGGGAAATCACTTGCCACTTTCAGAGAAGGAGGAGGCAGTAAGAAAAACACTAATTTACCACCAGATTTTCTGTTGCGTTCCCAAGGTTTGAGATTTAAATATATGAAAACTAATTGTGATGTCCATATAAAAAGTATCACACTGTGAGTTTACTACAAAAGAAAACACTTTCTGTCAGTGTTCAAGCTCCGGAGGACTTAGGGGCCTGTGGGCCAGACTCCACATGCTGACCGCTCTGCTCCTAAGGGCCTTCAACCAAAATAACTCTGCTTTGATTTGCTTTACATATTGGGTGTGTGTGGTGGTCTGAATAGAAATGGCCCTCATAGACTCATGAGTTTCAATACTTGGTCCAAAGGGAATGGCACTATTAGGAGGTATGGCCTTGTTAAAGGAAGTGTGTCACTAGGGGGCGGACTTTGAGGTCTCAGAAGTTCAAGCCAGCTCACTTCCTACAGCCTGAGGATCAAGATGTAGAATTCTCAGCTCCTTCTCCGGCACCATGTCTGCCACGCCTGCTGCCATATTGCCCATCATGATGATAATGGACTAAACCTCTGAAACTGTAAGCCAGTTTCAATTAAATGCTTTCCTTTATAAGAGTTGCCATGGTCATGGTGTCTCTTCACAGCAGCAATAAAACCCTAATTCAATGTGGGAGACAGAATTCTCAGATGGTTCCCAGAATTCCTAGGGAATTACTTTCATGATTATGTTATTAAGCACTTGACCTGGAGTCTGCCAAAAGGCAGAACATTCCATGGGACCTAGGTCAGACAGGACCTTCAAAAAAAAAAAAAAAATGTTCTAAGCTGGTCTCAAAGAAAAATGTGCCAAGTGCTCTACAGCTAGCAGGGTCTGAATTCAGCTACCTAAACCAGCTTCCTGGACCCTAAGCATTGGAAGAGGGCATGGTGGAACCAAGGTCATGCTTCCCGTTAGCGGAGATCCTGGGCAAGGAGGGCTCACTGGAGCTGGGCTCCCAAGCTACAGGAACAGCGAGGCAAAAAATGCACAGGGTGTGAAGCTGCAGCTTGGGCCAATTTGTTAGGCACCAAAACACTAACACCGAGTTTCCCCCAAAGGGTCTGAAACTTTAAAAAGGGCTGCAGATCTTAACAACAAGTGCAGTGTACCTGTACTTTCGAACTTACGTGTACATCTCTCCCAGGGACTTGTGAACTTACATGTACCTCTCTCCCAGGGAC